TAGATGTCTAGGAGTTTTGATGAAGAATCTCATTTCAGTTCTCTGTAGCATTTGAGAGATCCTTCTTGAAATGTTCTCTCATTTCTTTTGGTCTCCTTTACTTCTCTGCCCACTACTCTCCAGCTCTTCCTGAACATTTGCTTCCTTTTCTTGTTTGTTTAGTGCTGTTATTCCCCAGGTTGAGACCTAAGCCCTCTTTTCTCCTTGGGTACACTTGCTCTTGATTTCTGTCCAAACCCTGTTGCTGTGACTAACACATACAAAAATCCAGATGACTAACAAGCAAATCTCTGTCTCAGGTGGCACCTGTAGCTCGAAGGAATAGGGCACCAACTCCATATACTGGCGGTGGAAGGTGGCGGGTTCAAACTCAGCCCTGGCCAAAGAACTGCAAATTAAAAAAAAAAAAATCCTCTGTCTCCATTCCAGATTTTACTTCTGGATTCCAAACTTCTTTATCCAGCTACCCTCTGAATACCTGCACTTAAAAATCCTTAGCGAAGCCGACAGAAGCATCTCTTGTGGTAGCCTGAAAGCTTCTTCTCAAACTCATGCTTTACACAATTGCTGCCTTCCTTATTAGGAAAAGGCCCCACGGATTGGGCCTGTTTTCCATATAATCTTTAATAATAATTTAATAACTACTCTGTTGAGTACTTCATATACATTTTTTCTAAGCCTTCCAATAACTCTTGTAGTAAGTTATTCATTTTATATAATAGATCAGAAAACTCAATCTCAGAAATTCTAAGTAACTTGCTCAGAGTTGCAAAGTTTCTCAGGTTTTATTATAGTGGGTCCTGGTGTATCCTTCTGATTCCCTTCTGACATGATACAGAAAATTTTGTCTTCTCTGTCAAAAAACATCTAAAATAAATTTAGAGATTCAAGCAATGAAATAGGTTCATCTATATCCCCAGAACTTACTGTATCTCAGGATATGCAGTTCACTTAGCCCAGCCTAACTAGGAACCCAAACATTTTCCATTTTTTGAGCACTACCTTCTGTCTCTGGCACAGAGCTCAGTTTTAACTTGCCTCCAATTTTTTAATCCTTTCCTCACAAGTCACCCGAAAAGCGGACCGAATGTCCTTTTTTCCTCCCTCTTAGTTCAGAGCAGCCATGTTTAATGCTTAAGAAGAAGAAATAGGTATAATTTTAAAATGTGGCAATATTCTCCCACAGAGAGAGGAAGAAGCTAGAGGTTAACATGAGTGGATTTGACGCATGGGTTTTGCTTCACCTCTAACAGAACAGCAGGCTTTAGGCTCCAGTTTCTGCCACTGGATTAAATCAGGTGTAGCATATGCAGGCTCTCACACAGTGGCAGCTGCTGAGTCTCTCCAGAAAATTGCTGCGCCAGCAGCGATTTCCCTGTGGCTCTCCCATTTAATTGAATGAGAACCAGCAGGTGACTGGTGCCATGACAAGGGAATCACAGACACACTCTGAGCCTGTCACCGTGTGATGGAGCTAATATACAGCCTCTTAGTGGAGCGCTGGATTCCGCTTAGGGGTAGGGCACACAGAGCTTTGCCTATTATTATTTTTTAATATGCTGCAGAGTCATAACTTTAAAACTAATATTTCTACATAGTATGCAATTAAGACGGAGAGTAATGATGCATGTGATTTATTTTATAAAATAATTATGCCTCCTACAGCCCATTATTCCCCCCAAAATGTTTAATACATTAATATTCTCTATTTTTATCCTGATGTGAATGGCAAGTGGGGATAAGGAAGTGGCTGCGAATAAAGGAATAGTTCTCCCTGCCTTGCCATCTATTTGTTCTGTTCACGGAGAATCTCTGTGTGTTTAGTTCCCACAAATTGGTTAGAATTATAGAGAATGAAGAAATCAGTATAAACACAATGGTAATGAAAATTAATTATGGAAAAGGTAAGCATTGCTGTTTTAAGTCTCAAACATCAGGAGAGCATTTGGTTTTCACTAGGCCTGGGATTTTAGAGAATGTAAAAGAAGATTTCAATACCTGTCCTGAATGAGATCTAGCCAGTTCCTTTTGGGGGTGAGAGACATTAAAAGAAACATATTTCTACCTGTGCCCTCATGAATCCATCCTTAATCCACGTAAATCCAGAGACGAGGGTAGCAACTCATCCCTAAAAGGGAGAGAAATTTTGAAATAGTCTATACTCAAATGCTACAAAAGTATATAATTATACGGTAAGTGGACAGATGAAAATTTGTACTCAGATTTCCTTTTATGCTATTTGATGAGCGCACCCTTAGTTCAAAGGGTGAACACCATACAACATACACCAGATAACAAATAGCTGACAAAAATTATAAGCAAAAACTGAAGAGACATTACCAAAGAAAAGAAACTACCTTAAATGTCCAGAGTGAAGGCATTTTACTAAAATCAAAAGACAACAGATTTCAGGGGGAAAGAGAATTTTAACATACTTCAGAGTTTCTTTAAAGTTTTAATGATCACAAAGCATTAGTACCTCACCCCCAAGGTGGTAGACAGTGGGG